GGGACCTATGTGACCGAGTTCGAGTTTACATACTCTATGAGCCAGGTATTATTTTGACCACCCTTGACCTTTTTCCATTCGCTAACTGCCTCGATAAACATTACCCGTCGCGGCAACCTATCTGGTGACATGCGTAACACATATCCTAACCAAGGTAATCTATGGAGGTCAACTACTTGCTCTAACAAGCTACCGGGATGTGTTTATTACAAATACTGGGATTGAATCTCGTCACTAGCGATATATTGGAATGTGAAATCAAAACCAATAACATCAGTTACGACCCAACGCATTGTTCGTATTGGCCATGTAACCGTTCTTAGTAATGTGATAAGCATGTCTATAGTTTTTTATTCATTCCCGAGCAAGTATGATTTATTACTTGGTGTACGTGTTTCTTTTCGCATAACCAACAGACTGATCTGAGCGAGCTGTTACCCATCAAGTGATAGACAGCGGTCAGAAGGTCATGTTCTCTCTCCTACGGTNTACACGTGTATTGTACTGCATAATCCGAAATTGATTTGACAATACATCACACTACTGTATCGATCAGAATTGATTCATTTCCTATGCAATGAAGCAGTTTGGAAATGCTCGATAAAATACAATGATTTTTGGACCAGGTAATGAAACTACTTTCGGTTTGTGACATATTTGGGGAATGAATGTATTTACACTTATAACCAATGAAGTCCATCCAGTTGGTAAGACAGTCGGATCAGTCACTTGGGTGGTCCACTGGATGGTACGCTTAGGTTTTATTTTTGAGGTACTCGAGGTTCAATATCCCCAGTTTGGTAGATAAATTCACTGTTACTACTACTACTACTACTACTACTACTACTACTACTACTACTACTACTACTACTACTATAGTACTACTACTACTACTACTACTACTACTACTACTACTACTACTACTACTACTACTACTGAAGTTTGATCATAAATCTATGATTTAACACAGTTCACACTCCGAGATTTCTGTGATTCAGACAATGATTTTAGAATTTACGCTAAATATTGGTTCACTTGAATAAAAAAAATTTATGAAATGGAATTGCGGGAAGGGATTTGATCGATAAATTGAATGGAGTGACTTCCTATTAGTGAAATCCACTGTTTCGCATTTTTCTCTTCTATCTTGGCAGTAACAAATCTCCAAAACAACGAAAATGCTTGACACACAGGTTGTATTCATTTCTAACCGAGTCATAATCTCGGAGGTTAGTGCTGAGATGAGCGAGGTCTGTGGCCTGCAACAAGCTCGCAGACATGGGTTGTACTTTATCGTGTAAAAGGAAAACGAAAACCGATCTGCTCAGCTGCCTAGGGGTGATAGAGTGGGTGAAATGTTTGCGTTCTACCTGTGAGGTCCTGGATTCGCGCTCGCTGGTTAGGTCGACAGATTCGCACTGCTAATGAGACCCAACTAGGTCAAACCGGTTGACCAATGCTTCCTATCTTTTCAGTTTACGCTTCATTTACTATATACACGACGAATTTCGCTTTGAAAAATCACTCAAGCCGATTGAAACAAGATTTTTCAATGAAGTGAAACAGCGCCCATAGAGGCAGAAGAATGATTCTTGAATCGAACTTCAACAAGCTGAACTCTCAAATTACATTCTCGTGTTTAAACCTCGTTCAGTGTACTTGCGCAGCAAGTATATTGGATAAATTGAAAGACATTTGGCCTCTCGGATCTCATGACACGTCCCGAGAAATTTAGCGCCCAATTACTCGAAGATTCTCTCCAGCTTTATGTTCCGCCATATATTGGATTGCCATCTTTGTATCCATCCAAAGCTAGCATTCCAAGTTTTAGAACAACAGGAAACAGGACGGTTGTTATGGCTTTCTCAGGCCTTAGCCATTCTTCCTCATAAACCAAACCCCTGCAAACAACTCTGTCACGTACCTTTTGCCTTCGCACTGAAATTGCCTAGTTCAATGTTTTTTATTTTTAGAGTATCAAGCTTAGTGTAACCCACTCGATTGTTAAGAAGCACGAGGCACTCTTGATGGGCTTGGGTGTGGGTTTCACTCCTGGGGAGATAGTTAATTCCCCACTAGTCGCATACATTTAACTACGACAGAGATGCGAGTTAGAGTACACTAACGACATCTTTCGTCTGTTCTAATGTATGGAGGATGCGCAAAATGCTCTTGACAGACTTTCAAGTTCTGTAGTTCTGTTTAGCATGCGCTTTACACCTTCAAATTGCAAAGTGATACTGCAAGACTAGGTGCCATCTACCCGGGCCCTGATGCTTGATGGTCAAGAATTAGGTATGGTAGAATTTTTCTCCTACTTAGGTAGTTGCATGACAACTGATTTTAGTATAGTCATAAAAGTAATCGCTCGCATTTCAAAGGTTTGACCAGCTTATTCGGGACTGAAATATCTTTAGCGTAGACATAATGTTTCCCTGAAAGTGAAAGGTCGTGTATACTACGCTAGTATGCGGTCAGTTCTGCTTCATGGTCGCGAGACCCTAAATCTGCGCGTGAAAAATATTCGTTGTCCATAACTCTTCGACTGTCCATATTTACGTAGTTTGACGCGCGTTGGGTGGAGTGAACGCGTAAGCAACTCCGTGGTAAGGTGTTACGTATTTGGTAATGACTCAATGGAGAATTCTTTGTCCCATCGAATGAAAATTGATCAGCTTCGCTGTTTAAAACAGGTATTGCGGATTCCCAGCCATCGTCTACTACACCACGCCCTATTTGCATTTACGACTCTAGGTTACAAGTCAATAGGTACCCTGGAAACGAGGCATGAAGAAATGCGCAGATGCATTGGATGGAATAGGTATCTCCACTCTTCCAGGTTGGGTTCCAAAAGACTCTGTAACCGGTTGGTTAGGGACACTGAAGGATATGGCGACTAATCGACAGCGGTTGCCTTCTTGTTTTTATTTATCATCGGGTTCGATCGTTTGAAACGGTATGTATACACACTTAGATTGTATACTTTGTGTGTTGACCGTAGAGGTTCACTTTCTTTTCCGCCCTCCAATTAGGCTCAATCTATCTCCATCTTGTGCTTTATCACTTGATTTGTGTACATGGCGAGCTTGGCAGCGATCAGTGAATTTCACTCCACTGTATCTCGTTGTATGAGAATGATGATGTTACTTTGTAGTCGTTTTCTGAAATGAATTAAATAGTAAAAGATTGCCTTCTTCAGGGCGCAACAACGACAATAGATAATTATATCATCTTGTCGGTAAATGATACTCGAGCTGATACATGATAGTTAAACTCACACGATTAGACGTATAAGGCTGTATGGCTATATTTCCCATCCCTCCTGAAGATGAGCGCCAGCAGAGTATAACTGACCAGGAACCACCGTGTCATCAATGGTCTGCCATCCCATTCGTTCTCATATCTGCACATTTTATGAAAACATCTTTTGACTACTGTTATTTAATTTAGTAGTAAACATCTAGCCGTTGATAAAATATGAACGTTCGAGGTTGGAGTATATTCCATACAGATCGAAACGGCCGATATGAAACTGAAAAACCCATTCATACTTTTATGACAGCCTGTTTGTAAAAAACAGTCAATGAAATTGCATTGGAACAGGGCAAAGTAAATCCATGGAAGTCTACTGCTCTATTTTTTGCATTATAAAGACGACTGCAATATCTGATTATTTCGCTGGAAATTGATAGACCGTGTACAGCTCACCTGAAAACCGCGAACAGTGGTCACACATTTACCGTAAACACAAATCACCGAATCGCACATGGTTCGTCGTTTCAAACAATTGTCATAACGTAATTGGGGATTGGGTATCCACGTGTGACGATTGCATCGACAACGATAGTACAAATCACCTTCGGCCGTGATGAACGATTGGCACGAATTACCCTCGTAATTCACATTACATGCCGTATTACCACTGGCAAGTAAACCACCGTTAGGTAAGTGCGGATGTTGAATGCGTTTTTTGCATGCATCTGCCAGTTCTGAACAGGTCTCGCCGGTAAATTGGGGTTTACAAACACAATTTGTAACCTGAATTATGGACACAAGCAGAACGGACCGAACGAAACGTGTGATCATATTTAGAAACAGAAAACGATAATTTATTACACACGAAAAGTGATTGATAGTTGTTAAACAATAGTACTCATTTATCTTGGTTTGTATGTATTTTCGATATGATTTTACCTGCCGCAGCAGCAGCAGCAGCATCATAATGCATCTCGCTATTTCTAACGCCCTCAGTATCAATTTCGAAGTTGGAAAGGATTTAAGCTATTAATATCTCGTTCGAAATCGCTGGTAAACAAAAACAGGTCACGTGACCGCTGCGTTAACATCACAATTACTTGACCTAACATCATTCCTTAATGTCCTGTAGTGCATTCATCTATCACGAATGCTTTGCAATCGCTTGGGTTATTAAAAATGCTAGTAGACTCTTGCGATCATCAGAAGTGTTCTGGGTTGGCATACTTAGACGATACTGATACTCAGCTTCCTCAGTGTATGGTGGACTAATGTTGCTAAACATTTGTTATGTAAAGTTTGATATGAACTGATTATCCTTCGGACTTCACCTTCACGCACAATCCTCAGTTCATCCAGTTAACCAGAAGCTCAGAAGCACGATAGACTTGAGTTTCGCTTATCATTAATGCACATTCACTGTCCAACCTTCCAGGAGTTAAACTTGTATGGAAGGTGTGTGTGTGTGTGTTACCACTGTGTATGGTTGTGTCAGTG